TAACTTCTTACAGTAAATATTTAAAAACCCATGAAAATATCGAATGAGACCGAATAAAAGGTTTAATTCCTAAGAAAATGAGAAAATTCTTTACGACCATTAGTGAAAAGGAATTATCTTTATTAAAACTGGCTCGATTTGAAAAGAATGAGGCTGTTTATCAGAGAAATAACCTCATCTTGGACTTCTTATTCTATACTGGTTTAAGAGTAAGTGAACTAGTCAACCTCAAACATCGGGATTACCAAGAGCAAAGTTTAAGAATTCACGGCAAAGGCAACAAAATTCGGCAGGCTCTAGTGCCTCCTTTTTTAGAAAAGTATTTAAGACTAGGAGCCAAGGGCTATTTATTCACCAATCAAAACGGCCATCGATTATTAACCGATAAAGTCCGAGAAATCATCAGAACCCGAACTAAATTAGCCGGTTTAAAAAAATGGGTTAGTCCTCATACTTTTAGACGGAGTTTTGCCACTTTATTAGATAGAAGAAAAGTCCGAATGACTACTATTCAAAAGTTATTAGGACACTCTAATTTAGAAACCACAGCCCAATATATTCATAATGACTTTGAGACTTTGTATGCTGATTATAGTAAGTTATGGAAGGAACCAATCAATCAGGAGAATATTTGTTGTCATGCCAATTAAAGACCCCTTAAAACGGAAAGAATACCAAAAAGAACTAATGAGGAAAAGGAGAAATAACGGACTAACTGATAAAAATGTTAGTCTCGTTAGTCCCAAGTTAGACCCTAATTTAAATTTTAGCCCCTCCGTTAGTCCCCAAATATTAGCCCTTAATAATTCTGTTAGTCCCGAAAATAAAGTGTTAGCCCCTGAACTTGTTAGCCCCGTTAGACCCAACCAAAAAAAGTTAGACCCAGTTAGTCCTTGTTCGAATTACCAAGAACTAAAAAAGGAGGTCGAGCAATTAAGGACTGAAAAAAATAAAGATTTTGAAAAGTTTTTTACGGAAAATGAAAACCAAAAAGCCACTCATAAACAAAAAATAATTGAATTTTACCAAGAAATAACCACTTATAAAGAAACTATAAGGGAATTACAAGAGCAAAATAAATCTCTAATAGAAAAATATAGTAGGTTAGAAAATCAAAGCAAAAATCAAACTAATTCTCTATCTATTCCTAATTTATCGGCTCTAATTAATAAACATCAAAAAATCCAAACTATTCAGTGAAAGTATACTGAAAGAGAAGTAAAAGAAAGAGAGTTTTTAAAGAGTTTACGGGATAAGTTGTGAATATTTGATTAATTTACTCAATAGTCGATTAATGGTCTTTTGCTGGTTAGACCTTAAATAAACCAGAGAAAACCAAATAATAAAAATAGCCGACACGGAGGAAGGCACCTCCCCAATAAGTTTTACCATTCCGTAATGGGTGGTCTATTCGAGTAGCAGTGATAGATAAACAAAGGACTTAACGGAGTTCACGGAAGGAGAAGAATAGCCTTTTTTTCGTTTTTTTAACCCTAAAATTTCCCTGTTTTATTTTGCCAATTATCAGCCTACTATTTAGATACTTATTTATAAGAATTAGTAATTATGTATTCGTAAGAATACTTTACATCTTATAATTATTAACTAACTTATTAGGATGTTATTTGGTTTTCAAAAAGAAGAGAGAGAAAAGAAATAAAAATAAGAAAAGAGAAGAAGAAAAGAAATTAGGAGGAGAATAAATAATAAACCAAATAAGCTTCTAAACAATGAATGCTAACTCTTTTACCTTTTCACATTCAGCCTTTACCTCTTCCTACTTTATATTCTAATCCCTCTAATTTCTTCACTCCTTTTAATAATTGCTTGGTAAGTTCTTTAACTTTTAGAACATTTACACTATTTACTTGCTGAACTGGTAAACATTCCAAAGCCCCTAATAATCGAAACAAACTTAAACCATCCTTAGTCTTTTTATGAATATAATTAGTATCCTCAAACAATAAAATATTCGGCTGGTATACTTTGTAAGATTATAGTGTTTTTTTCACTCCTTGGCTTGACATTCTTTAAACTCTTCCTTTTCTCCATTTTTAAAGTATATTCCACTAGTTCCCGTGCCTGAGGGGTCTATGGCTAATACTCTAACCATTTTTAACCCTTAACTGCTCTAAAAATCAATCCCGAGACCGATAATCAACAAAAAACAGCATACCATTCTTTAATAACTTTATCCATTTCATAATTAGGCTGTTTTTATCTCTAATTACTGAATTCTTTAACTTACTCTTGGCTAATTCTTCTTTATCTCAGCAAAAATTTACTAATTCTCCCGAAGTTTCTTTATTGTTTTTAGTGAAGTGTAATAAACAATACCTCTTATTTACCTTTCTCACTCCGACTTCACAAAAATAGAAGTCTTGGATGGCATGTAATATCTTATATTTGCCAACCCTTTCTTTATCAATCATAAAATCATCTCAATTCCTTAAACTAGGATTTATTTTTTCTTCCAGGGCTAAACTATGAGGGTCAGCATCTCCTTTTAGTAAGTTCAGATATAAAAGTCATTGCCCGTCCTTACTGATTACTTGAACTCCCTTATTATTCCCCTTTTCTTTTAGTTCCTCGGCTTCTTTACGGGCTGTTTGTAAACCAGGAATATTATCTAAAAACCAACTACTTTATAAATAAGGATTGGTCAAAAACGTTATTTTAAGTTCACTATCTCCTTTTCTTTTTAGACTTTCCACTAAATCCCTAAATTTCCACTGCTCTTGGGGTAAAAATTCTTGGTCGATTGGTATTGCCTCTTCATAAACTATTTCACTAAATATGGTTCCTCGGGCTATTTTCCCTCGGGCTTTCCGGAAAGAGAATAAATCAAAAAAATATATCCTTCTCTTGCCTAAATAAAAAAGTCCTTGTTCTTGGACTTCGAAAGAGTTCTGTTTAATTTCTTTTTCTTCACAAAACTTATAAACTAAATCTTGTCAGTAAGGTTTGGAACATTCTAGGCTATCGTGTCAGTGTCTTCGTAATCAGACATATTTATTAGGGGTGGTGGTTATTTGTTCTAAAAAGGTTCAAGCCTTATTGTCAGTTTTATCTCTCTTCCGTTCGGTTAAGTAGATATGGAATAAAGCAGAGTTATTATAGATAGATTGTCAATTGATTAGTTTATTGGTCATTGTTGTTAAAAAAATTTCTTATGGGTAATATCGGGCAGAAAGCCAAGGGGGACAAAGTGTTAGTTGAGGTAAGGCAGAAATTAGCCTTTTTAGGAAAAAGTGCTATCTTACAGCCAACCATCCAACCAAACTCTTTATCCCTTGTGCTTTGGGCTTATTTTATTGCTTGTGGAACGAAGTACTTTGACTTTTATTAAGGGCAGAGAAGTCCAATAATTGTTTGTTGTCATAAAATTTCTTATACTTAAAAACCAAATTCTTACCTAAAATGGCTAATTGTTCTATTTGTTGTCATTTATCTAAGGGCAAGTCTTCTTTTCGGGCTTGGATGGTTTCTTTTTTTGGTTCTCCCATTTTTAGTACATAATAAGGTTGTCCTTTCCGTTTGCCTTCTTTAAATTTCTGTTCTACTATTTCACTAACGAAACCAAAGAGGGAGTAAGTGGTGTAGTTGTTTTGTTCCTCAGGAGCATAGTAGGAGTTGACTTTTTTGGTGAGTTCTTGGAGGAGATTATGTTGCAGTTCAGTTTGAGGAGTTCCTAATTTAGTTAGTAAATATTTTTCTATTCCTTCCTTGTTGGTGATTTTTTTAGTTTCTAATTGGGTTCAGAAGTTATTAGCCCCTTTCATATAAAGGGTTTTAAGACCTTTATTAAATAATAAAAGAAGTTAGTTAGTAGTTAGTAGTTTGGTTATTTATTTTGTTATTAGAACTGATAATTGTAAAAAATATTAAAACTTAATTATTAGAATTTATGACAAGAAAAAAATTACCACCTATTCATCCCGGAGAAATATTGAGGGAAGAATTATTGATCCCTTTAAATATTAGTCCGGAAGAATTAGCTAAGGAAATCAAAGTTCCCAAAGAACAAGTTAAATGAATTTGTGAAGAAAGAGGAGATATTACTCCTGATTTAGCAGTTCGTTTAGCCCTTTTTTTTGGTTCTACTCCTCAATTCTGAATGAATATGCAAAAGTCTTACGAAGAAAAGATTTTGGCTGAAAAAATAGAACAATTAAAAATCCAAATCCACCCTTATAAAAGAAATGGAGTTGAAAAAGTTCAAGAATAAAGAATTAGAGGAATTGGCTAATGAGTTAGAATTGCCTCCTAAATCTCCTTATAAAAACCTTGAAAAATTGCTCCAAAAGAAATTAAAGACTTTATTAGATGCTGAAAAATGACAGGACTTACAAATCTTTCCTAATAACAATCCGGAAAAATTAAGAGGAAGTAAAATAAAAAATCTATGTAGTATGAGAATAAGCAAGCAATACCGACTTATTTTTATTTGAGAAAACAATCAAGCCTGAGAAATTGATATTAATAAACATGATAAAAATTATGGTAAATATTAGGGCTTATAATTGTTTAGATAACAGAGTTAATAACAGAAAAATAAATCTTTTCTTTGGTAAATAAGGGGTTTAAAACTTCTTAATAATGAAAAGGCAAAACTTACACTTCCCCTTTTGTCAAGATTTAGGAAATAAAAAGGTTATTGATATTATTTGACCTGAGAAAAATATTTATATGGGAGAAAAAAGAAATTGTAAACTTTGTAATAATAGTTTTAATTCTGAAACTAAATGTTATTGCCAAGATTGTGAAAAAAAATGAAAGGAAGAACTTGCTAAATGTCAAGAATGAGAAATCAAGAAAAAGCAGATTATTAATGACTTTCTTAATGATAATAGCAAAGAACTAAAAAAAGAAATGTGAGAATTAAGAAATATGGGAGGGGTAATTTATAATTACAGTGAAATTTGCAAGAGGTGTGGTGGAGAATTAGTAGAAAAAAATGAGGTCGGTGATACTAAAAAGTTAAATCATGTTTGTAATAAGAGAGAGAGAGAGAGAGAGAGAGAGAGAGAGCAATTGAAAAATGATATTCAGAAATTAGAACAATTAACCAACCGAACTGCCGAACAAGAACAAGATTTACAAAATAAAAAGAAAAGATTGCAAGAATTAGAAAATCAAAAACATAACTCTAATAATCATAGTCAAAATAAATACTGGCCTTACATATTAGGAGGGATAGGAATATTATTTGTGGTAATAGTCATTTGATTACTAATGAAGAATAAAAATAAAGAAAACAAACAATATTAAACATGGAATTAGCACTAAAACATCGTCTTTGTTTCCCTTTTTGTCAGGATTTAGGAAAT